GCTTACAATCAGACTGTAATTTGGAATATACATTCTTCAAAAACCCTCAGTGCCTAAGAAAGCTTGTGTTTCCCTTTTGCTAGTTGGTGGAGACATGGCTGTTATTCTGTTGATCACATCCATTGGGATCTAACAATGGCCATCTTGCCATTTTATTCCTAAACAGTTACTAGGAAGAAAAATAACTCTTATCCTCACCAAAACCAGGACAATTTTGCACTAGATTGCTTTGGAAATAGAGTATGCATCCAGTCAGTGAAATGAAGCTTCTTCAGGCGTTCTAGCCAAGAGTTACACCTTACTGTTGAAAAAGAGGCAAAAGCAGTATTACTAGTGCAGTTTTTACATATAATGTCATCTGCGCAGGCTTTTTGTTAAGAAAATGTCTCTTTGTGCCCAGTAAAGGACTAATTAAAACAAACAAACAAACAAAACACAAGCACCTTACCCCTCTCTCCCTCAAAACCAGATTTATATATAGTCAGGGGATATAGAGCTTCCTTTAGTTTTTATGAACATGTGCTTCTTTATCTGTCAAATAGCTGAATAACACCCCACGGGTTCTTAGAAGCATTCTGATGAAATTTTGCAGGGCTTTATATTGCATAAAACACAAGGTGGAGAACCTTCTAGCTAGCATATATGGGTCTGGGTACACAGGCATTTGTGGATTTTTAAGTGCTTTATTCTGTAATTCCTATCCAGTCTTTCAAAACGGTATACAAAGAATAAGAAGGCAGATGATGAGGTGAAACTTCATCATATGAATAGTTAGTTTGGGTTAGCCCAGTCCAATTTTATAAACTTCTCAGTTAAACACTCACTTTGTAACAGAAATGTTATCTGTGTGTCTTGTCCCTCCACCATCAATTCTGGGTATTTTTTTGGTGGGCAGGGAGGAGGGAAGGTGATTGCATTTTTGTGTCACATCATGTTCATGACGTTCTCTTTGGCTGGGATTTTCTAAAACAGAGTCATCATAGGAATTGTTCTGTGATATATTGTACAGTGACTTAAATTTCTTTAATAAAGCAGAATTATTTTGGCCTGCCTTTGTGTCTTTCTGAGTTCAGTTTTGTGGGCTTGTGGAAGACTAGGCAAGCAGGGTTATTTGGGTGGAGTTTGATTTCAGTTCAAGTAATTTATTATTTTAAGTTCTGATAGAATTCTCTCTTTAGAAGTTGCTGACTTCTTATCTTTAAGGTTTCTAATTAAGTGTTAAATTTTGAAGTGATACATTGGTATCCACAGGATAATCAAGCCCTACTGCATGAACTTAACACACCTACAAAACCAGAAGAAAAAATATTTGGTAGAGAGGCTTGGACCAGCACATCGAACATACCTCTCAGTGAGTTACTAAGAGACTTAGATGTAACCTGCTTTTTCTGTTCATCTTGCAGGCCAAAGATAACAAGGCTTGACTTCAAGAAGAACAAACTCACTCTAGTAGTTGTCGAAGATGATGAACAGGTAGATAACTATCTGTTTAGTTAGCTCTCAGTCCTGATTATACAGTACTAGTTTACATACTCCTGATCTCTTTCTTTATTTTTAAGTTTTGAGAATTAACGTGGATACCTTGCAAGATTTTTGATTGTGACTTGGGGGGAGGAAGGGAATGAAGGGACTTAGGTGTAAAATAAATAGGCTCAATTACTTTTTTCCTCACCCTGTTTTTAAAAGGGGAATACCTTGTGAAACTAGTGTAGACCAGATAATTTGGAAACAGTGGGCATTGTGCAAGAAACTTTAAAAAAAGGCCATGTACCCCATTTAGTGGAGTGAATTCCTTAAGCAAATGCCAGAATTGTTCCCATGGGAAGAAATTGCTCAGATAATATAAATGTGAGCATTGGTAATTTGAGGAGATCAGATTTGGAAGCGAGATCATGTTAGCCTCATTGAGAAATACCTTCCTATTATAATGATGTCTAATTCGTAGTTCAGAGGTTTGACTTGTTAAATATATGGGCTGTAGCCCTTTCCAACTTCAGACAATGGAGTAGTTGTTCATTAAAGCTTCTGAAAAGGCTGATTTTTCTGCCTAAAATATTTTTTTTAAACATACATTTCAGTATTCATAAAAAACAAATTTTACTTGACTTGCATTGAATTGTAGCTTTGACTTACTCAAGTCCCTTGTAAATCGTCAGCATGCTTTGTGTGCTTTAAGGGAAAGGAGCAGGAGCACACTTTTGTCTTTAGACTGGATCATCCCAAAGCCTGCAAACACTTGTGGAAATGTGCAGTGGAACATCATGCCTTCTTCCGGCTCCGAGGTCCTGTCCAAAAAAGCTCAAGTCGATCAGGCTTCATTAGGTTAGGATCCCGGTTCCGATACAGGTCAGTGTCATCTGTCATTCAGCACATATCTTCCGTCATTTCTTGCTTTTCTTGGATTATGCATGGAAATAGGAGAGAACTTGGTATTCATTCACGTAGGACATACAGAGCAGTGAAACTTGCAAGCTGAGTGAGTTGCATTGTTAGTTTTATTAAATCATATGGATTTTCCCCCTGCGTTTTCTGATTTATCTTTAGGTGATTCTGGTCTGTGCAGTAGGAAACCAAAGGTTTCTCAAGGTTTATGTTCCTTACATAGCATATATAGTACATTGTGTTTTATAGATCACTTCATCTTGAAAGTCCACCTTTTATAACCATATAGGATGGATGATTGACTTGCACAGTTGGGGACACTGCAAGTCTTTTGACTCCTGAGTTCCTGACTGTTTGAGTGATGGTAGTGCTTCAGAAGCCTAAGATAATGCCCATTCCATGTTAGGCACTACTGGTGCATGTAACAGACTTCCCAATGGCTTGTGGTCCCAGACTAGTCTGCAGAACGCTGTCAGTTGCCCTGCCAGAGTTGGTGAGAACATATGGAAGGGGGTGGGGCGTGACCCCAGGCAGTATGCATATACTTTGCTTCCATTTCCAGCAACTGTAGCAATACCATCTAGTCTGCTTCAGAAAGGATCAGTGGTACCGAGGAGTCAGCAGAACTTGAGGCTGCTACTGCGTTGGGGGCAGAGTCTGGCCAAACTTGGGGAAGAAAGACTTGCCTGTGAACAAGAGCGTCTAGATGCTGGTTTTTAGTCCTATTATCATCTTTCTCTATGACCTGTGGCAACATACCTTAAGCTTTATTCTCTCCTAGAATTTTCAACCTCCCAAACTGCATGCACTGTGACCACAAAAATATGCAAAGGGCAAGTGTGCTTTTTCAGCAACTTAATGTTTAAGGAGTTATTGCTTCAGCCTTTTGTCTTGGGAAAATGGGGTGAAGATTAGGATGTTTGTAAAACTTCCCTTTTTTGCGAAAGGCCTTGTGAGGTGTTACGTTTGGGATTTTTTAATAGAACTGGGATCAGATTATTAAGCTATGAATTTAAAATAGAAATGTGATGTTTTGATGAGCAGTGTCTGTATTCTGTCATTAAAAATAAGTGATTTATTTTATTGTTTTGTACTTTTATATGGCATTGTTAGTGGGAAAACAGAGTATCAAACCACCAAGACCAACAAAGCCAGGAGATCAGCATCCTTTGAAAGAAGGCCCAGCAAGAGATATTCAAGACGAACACTGCAAATGAAAGGTAAAAGACTTTCCGTTCTGAGAAGTATAATCCACTGTGAGAATCAAGTAATCATATCCTTTAGAGGTTCTGTGTAGGAATTCTTCTGTATCTGTTTGCCCTTCTCTTGAATTTTCAAAATTAGGTTTTCTTTGACTTATTTGGGAGACCACATGTATTTATCAGAAAAAGCTTGTGTCCAAAAGATGTCATTCTAGCTTGCCTAGCAGGTAAACCACCTGTGACTATTGCACAATAGGTCTCTGTATGAATATGAAAAACTTGGGTCTAGGAAACAGCGATATATTAATGATAATATTTGAAATTTATGAATCAAGTTTGAAACTTTTGTCATTGGAGGTTTTTTCATTGTTCTTAGGAGTTGCACTCTGTTGTCACAACCTGACAGCATGTGATACCTTGTCTCTTATTCCCACTCTTGCGTAGGTCAAGCGTGACCTCCATGCATGCTTTCAGATACCTGCTTAAATCTGGCTTTTTGGTTTCCTTTTCAGATTTTTTTATTTTGTTTTTCCAATTTAGAATTTTATTTTACACACATTTGACATGGGATACATGCAACTTTTGCTTTTTTAGTTGCCTACTTTTAGGCAGTGCTAGACTATTTTTATTAATAATATACTTAATATTTAACTGATAACCTAATTGCAAATTAAATTTTAATTAACATTTTATATTTTTGCAGCACATGCTGCTAAACTTGAAGAAACAAGGTAAGATGCATTCCAATATTTAAATTTCTCTTTGATGTTTGTCACTTGTACTTGAGCATGTGTCTGCTGAAGGAGGTTATAAGATTAGTTAAATGTAGAAAGCGTTAATCTCTTAACTGTGGTTTTGCTGTGGGTTTTGGGTTTGTTTGCTTTACATCTACTGTTCAAAGCAAAGTTCCTGTGTTACAGAAGATTTTGCCAGACTTGCTTACTAGCACGCAAAGAGGTTTGTTTATGACTTAGTTATGATTCTTGTTGGATGTGAGTTGTAGTTCTGTGTGCTGCCATGTAAAGAGATCAGGTAGAAGGATGTCAGGATGTCTGCTTTCTGAAATCTGCCTACTCTGGCTATGTGACTGAAATGCATAATCAAGTGAAGGTCAGAGACAGGGAAAATACAGTAAAATAAATATTTGAAATATGTTGATGGTTTTACACTCTGTACTATACTTGCATTTATTTTTATATACTTAAGTATTTGTTTTTATGTATTCATACTAAATTATTCATGATCAACATTGAGAGGGAGGCCTTTTGGTTCTTTATTTCTATACCTAGATTCTTTCTGCATGTGTAAGTTCGTACTTGCTGTTGCAATGTAAAATACTCATACGAATTGAATAATACAGTTTTCATACCCTTTCTTAAGGGAAGAGAAGAAACCAGGCTAAAAAAAATTACCTGGTAGCAAAGGAACTAAGTTACTCAGTTCTGCTTTCTGTCCTTTGCCCTAGTAACTTGTGAACATTGCAATGACCAATTGCAACCAAATTATTTTTAAAAAGTAGATACTCGTGGATGTTAAGCATCATGATAGTCAGGAGCTGGGTAAGAAATGTCAAAATAACATTTCAAAACAATAGGCTTAATACAGCCATATGTTTGTAGCAGCAGGGTTGATTCTTGCGTGAGAGGGGGGAGAAGCCTAGGAAGTGTGGGGACAAGTTACTGTAGTGGAGGTCTCTCTGTCTTTGCGACCTTTTGTATTGTCTTTTCTTTTTATAAAATGGGAAAGTACTGTTCAAAACTGCGTGTCATTAAAATGCTTGAAGATCCTCTGCGTGCAAAACGTGACTGTCTGATTAATTAGTACTCTCGTCATACTGTGTTGTCATGCCCTTCTCCAAGTTTCACGCTGCTTAGGTCATTCTGGGAGTGGGAAGAGAAACTTCATACGCAGTTTCTCCTTCTGATAAGACGGCGGTCATCTGATCTGCACCTAGGTGTGGCACTGTTACGTTAGTCTCCGGAGCGATCTATGCCATTTCTGAAACTCTACACTCGAGTGTCGCTAATTGAAATGCATCATGAAAGATGTATGTTGTTCCATTCTTTCGTGTTAACTCAGCACAGGGCAATGTGCTACCCAGAAGGCATTCTTTAATATTTCTGTTAAATGTGCAGTGTTCTGTGGTAACCTCCACATTCTCTCAATAGAGAAAGTGCAAAGTTGGGAAACAGGCAAGGAACAGCTTGTTTGGTCTTGACATGGTATTTAAATAAAATAATTCTAAAGAATCGCTGAAGTAGATGCAGAAATCTATTTGAATTATCAGCTTGCCAGGTTGGATAGTTATTGTCCAGACCGTAAATCAAAAGATTAATGGGTCGTAGGAGAGTGGAACCATTTTTTAAAAGATTAGAAGTCTAGGAAAAAAGTTTGCTTTGCGTGAGATTTATAATGCATAATTATTGTGCAGTTAGTTAACAGCAATGTTAATGCTTTTAAATCTCTCGAAAATGTGAAATGTCTCTTGCAGATTCAGAAATCATCAGCATAGGGATCTTCTTTAATTTATGAAATATATTAAATATTTAATAATATAAAATTACTATTAATGTTGTGCTGAGCTGCTGTGCGCATAATTTCAAATGGCTGCTTTTACGACTCTAAAGCAGTAATTCAGTCCATTAGAGGTTGTATGTAGAAGAAACTCATGAATTTTTCTGATAAACTTTGTGATGTGAAACTTCAAATCAGAAGAGTCCTACTTATGGAACAAACATAGTATCTACAGCATGTAGGTGAGGTTTCGACAATGTCACATTTTGCTGAGTGTTTAACTAAAAGTATATCGGTTTTGCTTTAAAAGTGCCCCACCTTACAGCTGAATCAGGAAGACTTTCTAAACTGAACTGGTTTAGGAAAGGAAGAGGAAAAACCGGATGAATTACAGATAAACTACGGCTTGAACAAATGAAAAATAATGTGATAACCTTAGTTGGCTAGAATGAGGCAGCTGACCTAAACCATAAGTTTTTAAGTTTTCTATTAGGAACAGTTAAGTACTTTGGAAAGATCTTTGTTTCTGAAAATCCATGCAGTTCTGCCAGCCTGCAAGAGTAGTTTGTTGATCTGATTCTGATTTAAATTCTTTTTGTCTTTCAGTACTGCAAACAATGCTGTTATCAATCAAACTAACGGATCACAAGTAAGGACACTCTCTTTCATTCTTTTTAGAGGCAGTTTTCATGTATTTCAACAGATTTGAGGATTTTGTTATTCATTCTTAAAATCCAGTGATTGACCAATTGAAAGTTGCAAACAGTTAACTGCTAAATTGCATGCCAAGAAATGACTACTAATTTACAAGCAAGATAATTGGTTAATTGAGCTGTAGTAAGGAAGATACCCCATGCCCCAGTACTATAGAAACTATGCTATTTATAGATACAGATTTTCATAGGTACACAAACTACCTTCGTGTAAGAGTTGTTATTATTCAAAGCACATTAATTCTATATGCTAAGTAACATTAAAAAAACCCAAAAAGGGCGTAATTCATCAGCACCTATGTTGATTCCTGGTTACAGTATTTTTTTCTCTGAAAGAGGGGAATGCACCTGCAAGTTAAAGAATACATTGTTAGGAAAAAGTCAGTGTTTTCTGAGTTAGAGAAGGAAATCGGACAGACCTGTCCCCTCAGTAGTTGTACACAGAATACCTTGTTTCACTGAAAAGGGATGCTAGTCTAAAGTAACTCTCCTTCTGAGTATCAAAAAAACGGACTTCGAGTTTGGAAAGATCCTGTCTCACTTTCTGGAGCATTTCAGATGCAGAGTGCAACAGAAAGGATCAGATATTGGTGGAAATGGGATTATGGTTTGTTTTAACATTAAAATACTCAATCTCTGCTGATAGATTGCTGCTCTGCCCAGCCTTTTGCCTTCTATGCAAAAGTTGGTTTTTTTCAGGAGCAGTTATGTTTCAAATGACAGTCCAAAGGCCTGCAACCTAAAGGTGCCAATTGTTATTGCAAAGTTACCTACAGAAGGAAAGCATTACTGCATGAATTTAAAAAGGACACAGCAGGCCATAGCTTTTTACTGAAATCTTTGAGCAGCCTTGGATTCATTATGATCCCAGTACTGTGTGCAGTACTGGAAAAGGCTGGGCATAGGCATCCAGTGCTGTGGAAGTAATGGAAGACAATAGCCTTGTTTTAGCTTTGTGCTTAAGGAGAAGTGGTGGTATGTTTTGTTATGTTTAATGTGTCACCGCTTCATTAATGCGTGTATAGTAACTTACTTGTTTATATTCTGTCTCCAAAGAGCTGGAATGCAAAACCAAACCTACCTGTCCTAACAGTGGTTCCTTCTGCCCCAGTCTTAGTGGAAATAGAAAACCTCCCAAGGAGCCCAGGAACCAGCCAGCAAGACAAGTGGTATGTTCTGCTTTGCTGGGAAATTAATTTTGCGTGCTTATGCATGATTCAAGTGACTGTTTCTTTATCTGCACTTAAATAAGCCATCTTCCTTGTATCTTTAACGTAAGTTGACAGTCAAGTTAGTGATGATGTTGCTGATTTGTTGCTGTGAATATAGTGTGGGGAGGTGAGGACAACAGGCTTAGCACTGCCAACCAGAAGAAAATTTCTTCAGGGGCTGAAGAAATTATTAAATCAGGAACAGCATTTTCAACTCTTGGAGAGAGCTGGGTCCTTCTGATGTGCCATAATACTCCTTGTAACCCTTTGCTTGGTGTCATGGGGCCCAAGGACTTACCTTGATCCTTAATAAAATATAGAACCTTGTAAACCAGTATCCTTGTGAATCTCTTTTGAAATTTTTGAAATGAGCAAGCTGATTTTTTTCATTCTCTTGGGGAGAACGGAAGCTTGAGGAAAATGACACAAGCTGAAGATAAGAGCTTTGATGTCATGTAATCAGAGTATTTGTTTTATGGATTGGATCAATCTCAAAACAAGGATGATTTGTTTGAACATAAATGTACCATATCATTTATCTTTTCTGAAAGTAATTCTATACTGCAAAGCTATTTCAAAACCAAAACTGACATATATCAACCCAGTACTTGTGCACATGTCGTCTTAGTTTTTTCAGCTTCTTGTGCATTCAGAGGCAGTATGGCTTATCCTGGAAGGGTAATTCTGGTTTCTGTGAGACTCTCCAGGAGCAGCAGTGACGGAATGTAGCGACACAAAAGCTCTTATCCTAAGCAGTTTCAGCCCTCAGGAGAAAAGATCCTTCTCCCATTGACTGGCATGGAACCTACTTTGCTTCAGTATCTCTTAAAAGTAGATGATATCTGTTTCTAACAGTGCAATGACAAATGTATTTTAATTTTGTAAATCTTATTGATTAAAGACTTTTAATACTATGGATTTTAGATTATAAGGGGGATGATAATTCTGCTTTATCTGTTACATTTTATTGAAGTTTCAATCAGAACATATGATCAATGCTGTTTTTCTTTCTTTTGCCCTTGATTTATCTAGTATCTGAAATCTGTGCTTGTCTATGGTGAGATCCTGTTGATCGCTCGATTCCATCCATGGTGGTGGGTGAAAGGTGGTGGTTTCTTTATTCTTCAGCGTTCTCAATACGGTTTTATTTTTGTTCTTTTGGTCTAATCGCAGGAGGTGTGCTAGAAACTGGTATTTCCTCTGGTGGAAATGTTTGACTCTTGCTCCAAACAGCTCTTCTTGGGTACCTGATTCATGCTAGTGTTCTTGCTAGTATTTGCAAGACTTCCGTTGCTTATTGAAATCCTGCTGCTTTTGTTCAGAAGCAGAGAGGACTCTGTAGCCAATCTGTTTCAGTTTTGGTCTTGGTATGCCTGTTTTAGGATTAAGAACTTGAGCCTGTCTATCTTAACGTTGTCAAGGAATCTAAGCTTACATGCCAGCTGCCGCGGTATGTAGCCTTTCTATACAAGAGAGGGAGTGAATATAAAACATACCTGCATGTAACCGAAAATAGTATGCCGTAAAGAACACATGCTTCTTGGCAATTGATGAGTTTTAATTGAGAGAGTAATGCTTGTACTGCATATGTGTTACATTTCTTAGACACATATCATTATTATTGAAGGCAGTTGTCTTCTGGCAAAGGGGTTTTATTGTGTTCACTGGAAACAGTACTGCCTGTAATTAAGGGCAAATCCAGCTGTAGGAAGAAGAAAACAGTTTGGAGCTGAGTCAGCAATTGAGCTACATTCTGGTTTCCTAGATGGGAAGTGGGGTTAGGTTAATATAATTGCCAGAACATACGTATTTATTGCGGGGGCTGCGACTTGGCTATTGTGCCTTCAAGTCTTGGTGTCTCAATGCTGCTAATAAAATCTCTTTTCAACTGCTGCTGTCTTTAATTGGCCTGTTTCTGCATGAATTATCTTTGCTTCCTGTCAGAAAAATAGTCTTCTTTTAGAGAGAGTTTGCCAAGGGTTGTTGAGAACACCAAAATCTTTCGGACTGGGGATTTTGTAGATGGTTAGGTTGAAGGGGTTTAGAAGTAAGGTCCCGACCTTTTGAGTTTCCGTACTCTGCTTGGCAGATGTCTGTATTGGCTACCTCACAGCTTATATCCCTTCCTAATGTCAATGTTTCCTTTAATTTAAAATGTTAATGCTGCAGCTGCCAACAGCAATTGTGCCAGATAGGAAGGATTTTAGTAGTTGGGTGTTTTTTTTCCTTTGCTCCATTCCCGTAAAATGGTCAGTACAGGAAAACTGTACTGATCTGAAAATGGTCTGGAATATTAGCTGCAAGGCTGGGAAGCCTAAGACACAATCAGTGTCTTTCTAACTTTGGTCTTTTCTCAGGAAGCTGTTTCTGTGCTAAGATAGGACAGGAGACAAAGGATTAATAATTTTTTCCTTACTGTGGAATAAGTAGGGGTGGGTTGTTTTTTTTTTTTTTTGCTTGCTAGTGGATGTAGCTTTCACTTAACCGCTTAAATTAGAGAAATGGGAAAATAATGTAACAAACTGTTGAGGATTGGAGCCTTCAGTATTCACAGGTCACTTCCTCAGCATGTTTCACAAACAAAAAAACTCTGAATTTACCCATGGGTGACCTTTATATAAATCCTCTCTCTTTTCTAAAGGAGGACTATCCCTGAATGTTAATCATTTACCACTGTTGTGAATCCTGCGTGCTTTTCTGCTTCCCTGCCTTAACACATGTGATCTTCCAACCTATGCGCTGGCTGCTTGGCTGTTCTGGCAGGGCTGGGAGTGTTAAACCGGGCTTTCTGGAACATGAGAAGGTGGAATTTGAGCTGGGGGCTGTCCAGGACTCCTCTAGATGAACAGCAACAACGTTTCCACTTTGTTTAGATTTGGGTCATTAAATAGAAAATTCTACATTAAACTGAAGGAATACGTTTGTTTTAGGAATTTCCTTGCTTGAATAGTTTATGAAAGTGTTTTTTTCCAAGCATGTTTTTGATACCTGACTGCACCTTGCATCAGCCTCTCCCAAAACATACCAGTGAAGGATCCTAGCATAACACAGGCAATAGTTAATAGACCTTTGTCCATTTTTTTAAAGTCTTTTAAA